TCTTTGGTGAACTCTCAAGGTAAATAGTTTCAATTTTTAAAGCATTGTTTTTGTTTCATCATCGCTATTTATTTTGTTAATCTATCTCTTACTGGCGCTCGTAAATAATATAAGATTTTTTATAGACTAGCGACTTTTGATGACAGCAGGGGTTAATGTTTAAAAAGTACAATTGCAGCTAATGGATCCAGTGAATCAGGGAAGATTCTCACAAATTATATTGAAAAAGTTTGCTTCGAACTCAAAATAAAGGAAATACAAATTTTAGCGTGTAAATTCAAAGTTACCGAAATAAGAAATATTTTCGAAAGTGGCAGTATTTGGGTGGTTGGGGGGGGGGGGAGGATAGAGGGGATAGCCTCAGGCCTTCGGGTGTCTTATTCCAGCACTCATTAAAGATATTTAAATATATGTTTTAAACTAAAATATTTTGTAAAACAATGTAAATTAGACTATATTTAAAAAAATATATATACGTAATAGCAGATGCTTAAAGAATTGTTCGCAGATAACACTGCAGTGTATAGGACGATCGCCAACAGATCGGACCAGGACCAGCTACAACAGGATCTCAATCTGTGGGCTGAGTGGGAGATAAGCTGGGACATGGAATTTCACCCTGCCAAGTGCCAGACACTATCAGTCTCTAGAAGTTGTACTCCTCTAAACTACCAATACGAACCGCACGGCCATATACTTGAGCAAGTTTCCTCCGTAAAGTACCTGGGTGTTACCATTCAAAGAGAGGTCCGCTGGGACGAGCATATTAACAATGTATGTAACCAAGCAAACAAGACCCTAGGGTTCTTAAGGCGAAATCTAAAGATTGGCAACTCATGTGTGAAAGAAAGAGCATATACAGCCTTTATCCGTCCGATTTTAGATTATGCATCTTCAGTCTGGGACCCATTTACCCAGAAGAGCATTGACAGGTTGGAGGCGGTCCAGCGACGAGCAGCAAGCTTTGTCCTAAACCGCTACAGGAATACCTCTAGTGTTGGCAGCATGCTAGAAACACTAGGCTGGTCACCATTTGAGAAACGACGACGACAATCCAGGCTCTCCATGATGTAAAAGATAAATAATGGGCTGGTCCACTGTTCCAGTATTAAACAGAAGCTCGTCCCTCTCCCCCATAGACAGCAACGAGGCCATGACAGGCAATTCAGGCTCCTACCAGCAAGAAGCCAGTATAGGAGCTGCTCATTCCTGCCCAAGACAATCAGGGACTGGAACAATCTTTCAAAAGGAACGGTTGAGGCAACAACACTAGACACATTTGTGTCTATTGCCTCCAGCCTTCAAACCACCAGTGCATGATTTCTTCAACACCAGTGACAGAAACATTGCAAATCCCATCTACATGCATAGGAACCGAAATGATCAATAAATTGATCGTGGGCCCTTAAGATATAGAAGAAGAAGTAAAGATGGGTGAACGTTAGGAATCGCAATTTAAAACATACACACCTTTTTGTTGGAAATATAATAGAAAAAGCAAGAAGAAGGAAGAATTAGACAACTGAGTTTAAAAAATCAATTGTAATTTCATGTTTTTCTTAGCTGACTGTTCTGAAACAGGATGGTTCGGGCCTAGTTGTCAATACAAATGTCACTGTGAAAATGACTATTGCAACTCAAGTAATGGTCAATGTACATATATCGCTAAATGTGTGACAGGATGGTTTGGCTTTGGATGTCAATATCGTAAGTTTTGTTTATATTTTAATTGTTTTCAAATAATTTATTTAGTTGTTTTTTTTTTTTTTTGTGTGTTTTTTAAAAGATCAATAGAACATTTTTTAAGTTAAAAATCAATAAGGAAATTTTGTCAGATTTTTATAAAATATTATTTATATTATGTTAATTAAATATGCATTATCGTCAACCCAGAATAAACGAGTGGAAAAAAAAGAAACACGTTTTAATTAAAGCATAATAACGAGTGTACATATTAACTAAAAAAATCTAGATTTAATAATTGAAGTGGAATGCTAATATCAATGCAATTTGATACAACTTATAGAGTTACGGCAATGTTTAATATCTAGCAAACTCAAGATGTGATAGTTACTACCTGCGAGATTAAATAGGAAAATCGTTATTGTTTGATAGCCTTGATAGCCGTGAATGCTAAACTGCACATGGTGACGTCTACTTTAGATTTTGCGTTAAGGGACGCGGGGGGAAGGAGATGAGTGTCCAATGAGGTACAGAATGTTTAATATTAGAGAAACAAAACCTTTTGTACCTCTAATGGAAACAATATCGCATTTGTCTGACTTTAAAGAATACAAATAAATGTTATTATATTTTGTTGAAATAATTTCTGAACTCAATATATAAAACCGTAAAAATACTGTGAGTTTAAAGTTAATGGGGCTTAAAAGTTTAACATTCAATATTAGGGAAACAAAATGTTAAATTTTTGAAAAACTACTCATTGTTACAGAGGATTTAACCAGTGTTCCATCTACCACGATAATCAGCAACCTCATTCCAACATCTAACACGTGGATCACTGACAGAGACGACTCTACCTGTAATCCAGACATCAATCTACAGTCTGTTGTTGTAGCATGGAATATCACCTAGGACGGCGGTATAGGCGCTTTTTAAAAATTTTAAATCAGTTCCATCTCTAAGTTCGATTCACACCGGAATAAATAGTCATTATAATTCTAGATGCATTTGACCTGAAATTTTAAACATGTGCAAAATTTACACAGTTCTTATTTCAATAAATGGTTAAGAAAATATCTTGATTATTGGAACGTTTTATTTTAAATTTCAGATTTGATGAAGTAACAATTTGGATGATTTTTTTTTTTCTGCTGACAGCATACCTTGGAAACTTTAAGGTTTCTTTCAGAGCAAGTGGAAACACTGAGATTGATTGCAGCAATCAAAGGATCTACGTTATAGACGCAAAAACGTTAGACATCAGTTGCCAAATGACAGTAGACGTAATGCAGGTCATTATTGGAGGACAGAGTGTTAATTCCCTTTGCTCACTTTATATTAGTGGAGGTGAGTTTATTGTTAGATTAACATGCAGATTTTCAAAACAAATACCTTACATTAAAAACGTGTCCGCAGATTAACGTACACATTAATATAAAGCTATATACTAAAGATGAAAATTGAACCCTATTTTTTTTTTTTAGAAAAACAACTTTCACTTAGACATGTCAGCTTTAGTTCAGTTTCGTTTCGGCTCGGTAAAAACTAAAGCTCGGCTGAAATTCGGCAACCAATGACGTTCATTGTAATATAATATAATGCATCCCCCACAAGACAACTACGTTCTTCCATTGACAGTAGAAATCTCTCAATTCCAAGAACCAAAACTAAGACCATCGGTGAACGCTCCTTCTGCTTCCATGGGCCCACGTTGTGGAACCAGCTCCCCTTCCATATCCGTCATTGTGAAACCTCGTCCATTTTCAAAAAGTCCCTTAAAACTCATCTGTTTAGGTCCGCCTATGACCTGTGATGCACCCTCCTTGCCCTACCTCATTTTCTGTTTCGGGTTGATCCTGAAGTGTCAAAGTGTCAAAGTGTCCTCGTTTTATAGCCATTTTCATTGTTTCTATAGTATAGTAGTTACTATCCTAGTGTCTCATTTTTATTTACTTAATTTACATGTTTTAATAATTGTAAAACGCTTAGAGCTTTAAGGTAAGTGCCATATAAAAATGCCTAAATAAATAAATATTGTGTCTGTAATGTGTATAGATATTTGTTGGTGAACGTACTTGTTCAAGAGATTGATTGTGAAACTGTTGAATTAGTAGAAATTGTTGGCGTTTCTGGCTATGACATGCTTACATTTGAACAAGATGAAATGCAAAAGTCAATTCAGAAAAAACATAAATAACGCCAGATGAATATAATATGACATTCTTGATAGCAAGAGTAAATAGTTTGCATGCTAGCAGAACCAACGCTATTACTGCCAGAGGAGACAATGCTTCACTTTTACCACAATGCAGATGATGCATTAAAATTGAGCAATATTACAAATATATGTATATATATCCATCCTGAGTAGAAACTGTGACTGAATGAGCAACACATTGCTTTCCCCATATGGGGATTCAGGGAGGGTAAAACACCATCTGAAGAAAGCTGTTGGTCAATAATTTGTCTGTTACGGCCGTCTTATATGTTACGGCCTACAAACGTTACAGCCTTCTTCCGTTGTCTAGGGGTTACAACCTCAAATGGTGAGTACTCGATGTCTAACCTTATGTCAGACCTTTATGGTGTATTCTCGTCTCTCTCTCTCTCTCTCTCTCTCGGTCAAGCAACTCAAACACCGTCTAGTCCATTGTCAATTAAGGTTTTTATGTACATGTACTGAAACATCCACTTGTTACAAAGCACATTTGCTACACAGTTAATTCAGCAGAGGTATACAATCCTCGGGCAACAAGACATACACTGAATCTAAAAAAAATACTATATACCTCGACTCTACTCTGGACTCCGACACATCGGCTCAACTCTTCTAGACACATGTCACAGCTCTCACTAAAAACTAACTTGCCTCTCTCTTACTAACGACTAACTAACAAACGGCCCTTTTATATCGCCACACAAACACTCAGAATACACTAAAGCTCAAGACGAAACAAATTCCCGCTCTGACCTTACGACTTACAACTCACAAAACATTCTCACGATCAACAACTACCCAACATTCACAGCAATCCAGATCACAACAGTGTCCCAGATTCAAGGCTGTTCATATGTATGTGTGTGTGTGTCAGTGTGTGTAAATTTCCATCTTAAGGCAGAGCAGCCCCCCTTTTTTATCCTAGTGTCATAAGATGATGTTTGCCATTCCTTAGTAAAATCCAGTTAACGACACTTATAACTTGATCCCAATTAAAGCATATATCTCTCTTTTATGTACATTCATTTTAAACACTCCTTTTATTGTCAATTTAGCATGATAGAAATGAAACACATTTGTAAAACTTAGAATTTTAGATATGTTTAATGCGGTTATAATATTTATAGGTCAAAATGAAGCATTAAAACAGCCTAGTGTTCAGAGTTCTACACATATAAACCAAGGAGATGATTTAGGTCTGGCATCTAACGCAGCTGATGGCAACACCAATAGTGTTTTTTCCAGTAAAACATGCAGTCATACTCATGATTCTTTGGACTTGTCTCCTAATTGGAATGTAACATTTGGTCAGTCCCATGCAATCAACAGAATTGTTTTATACAATCGATTTGATAACACGGGTAAGTTATTTGCTCCCGACATGATAAATGATTTTTTTTACGCGTTCATGTCATAAATAAATTGGACTGTCACTAAGTCATTTAAACTTTAAACTTAAATCAGACTTTAATTGTTAAATTATTCTCTTCCTTGTATTTATTTATGTCTAGAAATTTTTTTATACAAATTGCCAATCTTGCTCAGTGATTTAATAATAATAATAATAATAAAGTTCATTTCAAAAACACGCTTCATCCCCAAAGGCTCGAAGCGTGGTACAAAGTCAACAAAAAACAAATCTATAATTTACCACATTTAAAACAAAAGCAACAGTACAAAAACTAATTACAAGCATACAATGGCAAAGTCTTTCTAGCTATTTCAACCATAAGCATTATGCATTAACTGGTAAATAAGGTAGACAATCATCCCAGATTAAATCATATATCAGATAAGTTTATCAAATAGTCATTACATCTTCTAAAATACATTACAATGCATTTGTTTGTTTGGCATATTTTTTAATGTCCTAAAATCCATGATATTTTAGATACCAAATGCTGCCCGGAGAGGTTAATACATTTCGGTCTCCAAACTTTCAATGCCAGCAAGCAAGCGGTATTTTCCTTTCGAGACGCTGAGGACACAGCAATGTTGATATATACAGTCGTTGTTCCAGTCAGCCAAAGAAATATTTCTATAAATGGCATACGAGTAAATTTAAGCACAGGAGTTCTTACTTTATGTGAAGTACAAGCATTTGGGGGTAAGATAATTGCACGAGGTGAAATAAATTTTATTATCAAGGCGAAGGGACCACTCTCGTATGAATGCCACACCTGCGCCTGTCTAGGGGTATTATGTTATATCAATTTCACGCACTAGGGGACATATTACCGTATCATTTATGCATAACTATCAAAAACTTTATGTAAATAAATGAGTTAATTTCATTTACTGAATAGTGTTAGGTGTTCTAATATAATATGTGATAGCCAAGGATATGAAAAATATTTTTCATATAATTTAATCTAGGTTCTACTTTATTATGTATATTGGCCTCCCGTATAGCCTAACATTCGTCATAATAGTCGCTATGCTTTGTATTTTAATAGTATGCGATCAGAATTTACAGACTTAACTTATCAATAATTGTTTCAATGATCCTGCTTGCTGATGATCTGACTTGATAAATCAACAGTGCGATCACTTCAATGTGGAGGTGGATTCTCCGGTCCTCTCATTTGTGGCTCTTCACGACTTGGCTTCTCAGGGCGTTCACGTAAGGGGGCGAAACATCAATACGATATAATGAGATCAGTTCAATGTCGGAAGTGGGTTCTCCAATCCTTTACTTCGTGGCTTTTCAGGGCTAAGCGTTTCTCACGGCTTTTACGGAGTGCTACTTTGTGGAGTAGCTCTGGTGATCTAGTTAGATCATTCAATAGTGAGATCACTTCAATGTGTAAGTGGATTCTCGGATCCTTTCCTTCGTGGCTTTTGAGGGAAAAACGAAAGTGGATGTTGCAGCAGTACAATATAGAGATTCCTTAAATGCAGAAGTGGACTCTTCAATCCTTTACTTCGTGGCTTTCCAGGGCTCATCGCTTCTCAGGGCGTTCACAACAGTCACAGCAGTACGTAGTGCAATAGCTCTTCCCCAGTACGTTGTGATGTATTCGAGGACTTCCCAGCGATGCGTCTGTCGTGAGAGTGGAGTCTTATCAGCACGCGGTCCCATCGTTGCAGTCTATGGCTTGGTTTTCCAGATGGGTACTTGGAGGATTTCTTGGAATCCAGCCTCAGGGAACTGATCCTCAATCCAGCTGCTAAAGTACGGTGATTGTACTTCGGCAATACGGCGATCTATTTACCAAAATATATGTGAGTGATGATACAAGAAAAGAAGGGAGTAACTTTTCAATTTTTTTTTGAGTTAACAGATCACTTTCCATCGACAACGCATTCAGATCGAGGCATCGAAAGGAATATAAGCTTTAAAATGTAATATCCATTGCGGATAGCTTTATTCGTCTTCACCATAGTCGGCGCAAGCATAGGTTGCTAGCGTCAACGCATAGCATTGGATTCTTTCAAACATAATTATACAATGAATTAAAAAACATAAAGAATGGATTTATTATAATTGGTCCAAACAACTCTAATAGATAACATCTATCCAGTGGCTACATCACCATCCTTATGATGGGATGAAATCCAGATAAGTAAATCTCGAAATGGACAACATGTGCCCCATTTGGAGGCGCAACTCGAACATTGAGGAAATATAAAGTATAATCGAACTAAGTTAATTCATTTTATTAGAATGATCATACATTAATTTTAAACCAATCTATATTTGTGGTAATACAATGCATTAGAATAAAAGAAATGAAATAGAAATGTTCTTCCAGCTCACTAGGTGTTGGAAATACCGGCTTCAAGGTGCATAAGTAAGTTGACTGTAATAATTTGTGTTACGAGCTTAAAAAGTAAGCTTCTAACTCTTACCAAGGTATTTATAATGAGTTTAGCATAATCGGTCATTGGCTAAATCACTATCATGTGATGTCAAAATCATGTCAGAGTCTGATGAACTTAATAACTAGACACGTAATTAAATTTTAACAGCTCACCTGTGGCGAGAAAAAGGAGGGAGGGGGGTCGTTTATGCTGCGTAGTTCAATCTGCTGGTCAAATATATAAAAAACAGCCTACCCACGGCGTAGCATACGTCGCAAAATTGCTCATATATGAGTGAAGACTTCGTGAAAGACACAGTTGTCCAAATGGGGTGGGTTTGAGGATACAACTGCGATTGGGTGAAAAGAAGGAACTCTGGAAAGAGCTACATACAACTGTCAGTGATAGAAGACCAGTTTTGGTAGATAGAGGCATATATTTTTGAAAGTGTGTCCCTGTGCCTTATTAATTGTCATTGCAAAGGCTAATCTAAGAGGAAATTGTCGCCGTGTAAAAGTAAAAGGTAAATTTGAATCTGATGATTTTTAAAGAAATCCGGGGAATAAGGACAGTTTGTAGCAACTGCAATAGTTTGACACTGTAGCACATTGCGGTGATGTTGGTAACAGTCAGTCTAGTGCCATTACAGAGACCTCTTGCTGGCAATGATCTTTTTCCATAAATATGTGGCCGATAGAAACAAACAGTTACCTGATGCAGGTATAACAGTCAGTGAAGCGTTTTTTCCCATGAAATACATGCGAAGCGGTGACCATGTTCGCAAAGAAAGGGGAAAGGGGCACAAACAGCAGCACGAAGAACGTGGTTCAAAAAGAGAGCAATGACACACACTTTTTAGCAAAGCAAATCAACCAAAGTGAAGCTGGCTCAGAGCTTGTTGGGGTGTGCGCATGCCTGGCAAGCGAGGGTGGTGCAGGAGGGTGGAGGGCGGTATCTCCCCCGCAGTGCGCATGTCTCGAGACCAACGATGGGCAGGCAAGGGAAGGAGGGTTTGCCTGCTTCTTGCTTGCTCTGGCGTATCTATATATATCCTGCGTTGTCGTCTTCTTTCCCTAGTTTTTCTAGCATATTATATATATAGATATAGATGCAGTTGAATTGAGTGAGCAATCAAGTGCACTGACAACAAACAATGGTTAGTAATTCGTACTTGAAATAAAAAAGGGGATGGGGTGTTCTAAGAAGGTGCTTTGAGTACATCTAACTTTTAAGGTCAGCTTGATTTTGTCACAGAGATGTTTCGTATCCGATTTATGGGCTCTTGCTTTGTTTTAACCCTGATACAGGAACTTTAGATTATTTTAATTCATTTATTAATTTTTTTATTGTAGAATCAATAAGGGAAACTGATTCTCCACAATTTGTCTAAGGGGCTAGACATTCTAATATGTTTTATAAATGAATAATTTTTGTTAAATTCCATTTATACATTTTGTGCATTAATTTCTGTAGAGTGTGCCACAGGAAAATGGGGTCTTGAGTGTAAGAACACTTGCGACCCCAGTTGTAGGACATCCTGTAATGTGGAGACCGGCTACTGTCAAATTTGTAATGGATACAGTAACCCACCAACATGCGATCAAGGTTTTTTTGTGATTAATATTTACTTTTTTTTAAAATAGTGTTAATTAAATTCTTTGTAATACATGTTTTGATAATTTTTTAAGTGAAAGTGGACTTTTTTTAAAATAAACAGTTTTAAGTAAAATGAAAAGAAAAATATATGAAATTTAAATAATCCTAACCCTTTGGCACTTGATTTGAAAGTGGTTCTAAATGTTAGGTTTTAAATCGGGTGGCTGATCTTTTTCGTTTTTATAATATTAAGAGAAAAGTTGGTGCAGGCAATTGAGTGTTAACGACACAGCTTCGCCTATCGGCTTCTAAACTAACAAGAAGGCCACATTAATAGATGGAGAGCTTTCACCCGACGATGTTTAGATGAAGTTCTATTTAGCATATAGCCTTCTTCGGTTGTAAAAATTCCAGTCCGTTTAGTGTCGAATGTTGTCCCATTATCTCATTCTCTGAAACATAGGTAACATTTTATATAATATAAAGGATTAAATGCTGGTGACAGAATGCAAACGATTTCAGTGGCATGAATTGATTTAGACTTGTTATAATTTTGGTCATGTCATAAATCATTCTTTACATATAACTGTCTAAAACTTTGGTAAGAACTACATATCTGGAGAATAAGGCAACATTTTTCCTGTAAAAGTCTGACAGCAATGCCATAACAATATCCAATGTAATTGACCGAGACCACATTGATTGCCTGGCAGGGGAAATTTCTTAAAAAAGCTTATAAAGTTGGTTGAGATAAATCTGATTACGTTGGACCATACCTTTTAATAGCTTAATAGAAATTGTTCCGGTTAAATCAGTTTGCAAGGTCCTTGATCCACCAGCTGGGTTTTAGTCTTCAGCCATTTGTTTGTTTTTAAATTATTATCTTTTTACACATTATCGGTTCATATATAGCGTCTTGATGTTTGATGGAGCTTGGTCGTCCTAAAATTTCACATGTGGTTTTGTAAA